TCTGCGTAGGATGGTAGGATTCGCTATTTGTATCGGGAAAGGCATCTCCATCTCCCTGTTTATAGGATTCTTGGAGCTTCCGGGAAATCGTGTGTGAGTGAACGGCCGTCGTAAGTTTGGCTGACTGGGGGAGGGGAGGGAAAGGGGGAGGGGGGAGGAAGAAGAGAGATGGGGGGGTGTTGAAGGATGGGGGGGTGAGGGAGAGGGTAGGGAGGGGAGTGCGAAGGATGTGGGGGGGGGTTGAAGGATGGGGTGAAGGAGGGGTGGTGGGAGGGAACGCGAAGGATGGGGGGGGGGTTAAGAAGGGGAAATCGAGGGATGGGATATGTTGGGGGGAGGGGGAATTGAGGTAGGAAAGGGGATTATGGTAAGGGAGGAGAAGGCGAGGGAGGAGTGAGGGAAAGGAGCTGGGGAGGGGTGGGATGAAGCAAGGGAAGGGATAAGGAGGATGAGGGAGGGAGTGAGGGAATTGAGGTAGGGAAGGGTGGATTGGATGGTTGAGGGAGGGGAAAGCGAGGGAAAGTGGACTGAGGGAGGGAGTGAGGGAAAGGGAGGCTGAAGAAGGATGGGGGGGGGTTGAGGGAGAGCAAGGAGAGGGATAAGGGGGCTGAGGGGAGGTTGATAAAGGGTTGAGGATAAATAAGATTGGCGAGGAAGGGGAGGGAGGGATTCTTATCTCATATCTCTTAAATATAATAACCAAGATAACGGAATTGTTACTAGATCATTAATGATCATTATGACTATATTTAACTTTCACTACTTGACTTGACATATCCCACTCTAAGCCAAAAACACGTAATTTCCCAAACAAATGCATAGAAGTCCACCCATTTACATAAATCTGTAAACAAAACCGCTCCCCCCCAAAAAAAATACATAAAACAGAAAAAAATCAGACAACCCCCCCCCAAAAAAATAATAAATAATAATAATAAATATATATATATATATATATATATATATATATATATATATATATATATATACAAAAACAAAGAAAAAATCAGACAAAAAATAAACAAACAAAAAAACAAAAAATCCTACCCTCAAAAACAACCTCCTTACGAGCCTTCACCGCTTCCTCTCCCTCACACCCGGAAAGTCGGATCGCCAAGCACAAGCAAGCAGGGAAATGCAGAGAGCGTGCATCGTAATCTATAAAGCGCCAAGCAAGCAGATCCCTCAGCTCGCGAAACGGCCGTCGTGGGATGCTTTAGAGTACAAAGCAAGCGGCAAGCATTGGCCGGGATGGATAATATACTGTTAAGAGATAGAGGTTGGATGTGAGATTGTTTTCCTTGGCGTTGTGGACTCTGAAATGGATATTCTGGTTCTTTGTCTTGTTCTTTATCTTTTTTTCACTCTCATTCTGTTTTTTTTTTGCTTTATCATACGCACTCACGCACGCAGGTACACACGCACGGAAGCACTCTCCCTCTCTCTCTCTCTCTCACTCTCACTCTCTCACGCTCTCACTCTCACTCTCACTCACGCCTCACGCTCTCTCACTCTCTCTCACTCTCACTCTCGCTCACGCTCACTCTCACCTCACTCTCACACTCACGCTCACTCTCACTCTCACTCTCGCTCACGTTCACGCTCACTCTCACGCTCACTCTCACTCTCCTCAGGCTCACTCTCACTCTCACTCTCACTCTCACTCTCACTCACGCTCACTCTCACTCTCACTATCACACACACACACACACACACACACACACACACACACACACACACACACACACACACACACACTCGCCCTCCCCGCAACCGCGCCGTCGACACCCGCTCCGTCACGTTGTAACACGCTCGACAACTGCCCACAAGCCTTCAGAACTCTAAACTTCCCCAGTTCCTCACCGGCTCTTCAGCCAGCCATGAAATCGGGCCATAATTTCTGCCATGAATTCGGGCAGTATATCGTGGCAGCTGCATTATGCCTAATGTTACGGGGAGACTGGCGACGGGTTGCAGCACGTCGTCGCAGCTGTGGGCGATTGCGTGCGGGTGTTTGCTGCAGTCTGAATATGGGCGTCTGTTTACGGGGGAAGAATATGGGCGTCGTTACGGGGGAAGAATATGGGCGTCTGTTACGGGGGAAGAATATGGGCGTCTGTCACGGGGAAGAATATGGGCGTCTTTACGGGAAGAATAATGGGCGTCTGTCACGGGGGAAGAATATGGGCGTCTGTCACGGGAAGAATATGGGCGTCTGTCACGGGGAAGAATATGGGCGTTGTCAGGGGAAGAATATGGGCGTCTGTTACGGGGGAAGAATATGGGCGTCTGTTACGGGGAAGAATATGGGCGTCCTGTGGGAAGAAGAAATATGGGCGTCTGTTACGGGAAGAATATGGGCGTCTGTTACGGGGGAAGAATATGGGCGTCTGTCACGGGGGAAGAATATGGCGTCTCTGTCACGGGGGAAGAATAGACAGGGGAAGAATATGGGCGTCTGTTACGGGGGAAGAATATGGGCGTCTGTCACGGGGGAAGA